GTGCATAAGGATGTACAGGTGGTCTTAATGTTATGCCTGATCGGTGTATGTCTCCAAAGTATGCTATAATTTCAGCTGTTGTATTTTAAAGTTCAGACCTGCCCTAGCTCTTCCCAGTATGAGGCTTTATAGTATGTTTTAGGTAGAAAAGTACTTTGCCGGGGTATTTGTGTCAATCGTTTACTTCCCCTGCAGAGCTGACTGAGAACAGGCACACTTGTATGCATGTTGGAAGTTAAATCATCTAGTCAAAGCCAATGAACTCACTCTCTTTCAGCTGTTTTTTTTTTTTTTATTCCACATTGTGTATTTATTCAAATGACAGATCAAACTTCTGATCTGAGCTAACACCAAATGAAATGACTGGCAACAAGGTGTTCTCTTTGCCAGAAGAGGATCTAACTGTATCTCATCTTTCTTTAACAAGTGTGAAGGTAAAATGAAGAATCAGTAAGAACTATAGAAGCTAAAGGATAGCCTTTACTACTTATTAACAGCTTGAGTCTTCATTGACTTTCCTGTCATCAGGTTCCTGAGCTGTGTGTCAGAGGACATTGGATCATTCTTGACTGAAGGCCACCACGAAAGTCTTTATAGTACAACCCATGAAACGGCACTAAGATCCGTTGCCTGGGGAACCCGTGGTAGACTTTTGGTCTTGTTCTAGTGTTCATGAAACAAGTCTTGAGCTGTCATTGGATTTAAAAAAGGCTGTTACAACTATATAAGTTTGGAAAAGATAAGTGTATCCTCTGGCTTTTAATTTGTTGGTCAGTCAGTCGGTTGGTCCATCACTTTTGGTCAGACTGAAATATCTCAACAACTGCACAGATTGTGATGAAGTTTTATACAGACATTCAGGGTCTCCAGAAGATGAAGCCAAATGATTTTTCCTGTAAATCCACCAGTAGGTTTAGTTACTTAATGGATTGCCATAAAATGTGGTACAGACATTCCTGATCCCCTCAGGATGAACTGCATCTAGCACCACCAAGAGGGCGACATTTTTTATTTGCTCAATGCTTAGTTTTAGACAACACCTGCAAACTAATGAAATATTACCTCAGCCTCAGTTATTGTATACTTTGTGTAGTGCTCTTTAGCAAATATTAGCATGCTAACACACCAAGAATTTGAACATAGTAATGTTTTATCTGCTTAGCATTGGCATGTTAGCATTATCATCCGTCAGTGACATCTCACAGAGCTTCTTGCGTGACTTTAGACTTTTGTTAGGACCCATTGTTTTGCAGTTGAGGCAATAGGCACTGCCTGTTTGGACTGTTTTTTCACTAAACATTTTTGGGGCGCTTGGCTTCAGTTTTATAAGCAGGGATTCTTGGATGTTTGTTCAAACACATAATGCTTGTGCAAATTAACAATTGGTCAGAAATTGTTGTATTATTACTTTTTCATGAGTTCTTTGGGTTATTTTGTTCCTCTAATGTAAAAATACAAGCAGCATAGTCCGTTGATCTGTCAGTTTGCGAGTCCATCATTTTATTCCAGACAGAAAATCGCAGCAAGTATTGGATGGATTGCTGTGAAATTGGTCACACACATTCATTTCCCCCTGTTTAGGGTCTTTTCCACAGATTTCCCGTCTGATCCAGAGATTCAGACTGGAGTTATACCGACCTACTATGTCATGACAAGCTGTCATTCAGCTATGGAATCCAACCCAAAAACAGTACCGTATGGATTTAAAGCAGAAAGGTGCAGATCTAGCAAAGGTACATCCTTTCTTAAATAAATGGAAAAAATGGCAGCATTGTAACAACAGACTGGCATCACACCAGGTAATGAACCCCAGTGCAGACCACTGTGGAAGGAGACTCTTGCATTATGTGGTTAAGTTTTAGTGGTTAAGACTTGATCAGGCAGCACAGGTCTCCTACAGTGCAAATTACACATTGCAGTAGAGGTGAGCCATTACTCTATCTTCATTGTAAGCACCTCAGAAGCACGTTCCCCACAGCCTGAATCGTTAATCGGTTTGAGTGAGGACAGTGGCACAGTAAGCAGGAAGCAAAGGGAGGTCACACTAAATACTGACTTTCAACTGTAGAAGCCATTCTCTTCTGCACATTTTGTAATATTGTGTACACCTTTCCTGTATTTTTCGGTTATTTCTTAATAAAGAGACTGAGAAGTAAATAAGTAAGCATTACAACCTTGCTAAAACAGCAAAACCTAATGGTGGCCTAAGACGTTTGCACAGTTCTCTATATTCTCTGAATAGATTCGTTGTGAACGGTACCTGAGCTGATCAGTGAGTGTTTCATGGTCATGTCACTCTGTGGATCAAAGCCAGGTAGTGTTTACTCTGGGAAAGCTGATGCTTGAACTTCATGTGGCCCTGTGTGTCCTTTTGGCTTCAGTCACACAGGGTTCAGGTTCTTCTTTCAGTTCCTTTGTTACAGTATTGCTTTTGGTAAAATAGACCAAAACAATGTGGCCACCGGTTACAGCGACTTTAACACTAGAACTGCCAAGAGGTCATTTTGACCTCTCTTGCCTATTAAAATGCATGTAACTTTGAGTAAAAACCCTATGTCTCCCAGTCAATGACTTTTCCTAAAAGTGTGTTACACATCATCTTATGCGTTTTGGGGATTCTGGAATAAAAGAGAGAGAAAAAGAGTGGTTTTACCTAGACCCGCCAAGAGGTCATTTTGACCTCCATTACTCCTAATGCAAAAATGGTAAATAGACTGCACTTGTATAGCCATATAAATTATATATCCAGTCAGATACACGGCTCAAAACACTTTACAGTCATGCCTCACATTCCCCCATTCTTACACACACATATACTTTCCAAAATTAACAATAGGCGTTGCTAGGCAACCAAGATACAAAATGACTATAGTGTAGTGATGAGACAAAAACAGGCGTTCACTCCCACCTTCTGTGCCTCAGAAAGCACTACTGCTTGACATCAAAGTGATGAAGAGTGACAAGACAATACATAGAATATACCAGGGCAAGGTGAACAAAAATGTGTGCATCCTCAGCACAATGCACCAGACGGTGGACGTGGAAAGTGACAGCCAGACACAGTGCACTATTATAACAAGACCAAGGTGGGTTTGCACATCCTGGATAAAATGATCAGACAATACTCCACAAGTGCCGCCACCCACAGGCGGCCAGTTGTCGTCTTTTTAAAACAGGGGTAGAGCAGCCTCAGGAGAAGCAAAGGCAATGTACAGTCAAAATGCACTGCAATAAAAACAAAACTGTCAAATCGTGCATCAAGTGCCTGTGACCTGTGTGTGGTCAGCGTACTGTCAAGGTCATCAGTGTTTGTGCTGGTTGTGAGTAAGATGTGTGGCAGAACTTGGTGCGGAATTGGCCTGTGGTTCCCAAACATTTTTGACCAAGGCTGTCTTTTTTTGTAAATATTTCTCAATTCGTATTTTTATATAGCTAAAATAAAAGAAATAAAATTCTGATGTTTTATTATTTCATCCATTTTTACATGCTATTTTGAAAAAATGACCTAACATTCCTGTAAACACCCCATGACTGAGCAGGTTAGGAGACCTGTTATAAACATAACATTCCTGTAACAGATTTCTAATTTGCAATTATAAAGCCTGAAGTGGTGCGAGGTCAAAATGACCTCCTGGCGGTTCTAGGAGGTAGTGCATTGTTGGCGGTTCTAGTGTTAAGTAACATTGTGTCTCTGGAAACATAAACAAACAAACAAACATGCTAGCCCATTTGCAGTGACACCACCTGAATTGCTTGTTCACTATATGCCAGTGTTTCACATTCACTTTCAAATTCTTTGTTTCAAGGCTTTACCATTTCACCACACCGTGAGCCGAAAACTGAAGTACACACCGAACTGAGGCTTTTTGTGTACTGTTACACACATGCAAGTAGAGGAATAGGTTCTAATGTTATAGGTGGGTGACAATTAAAACGGGATTATTCAAGGCAAGACTAGACAAAAATGACAGCAACTTTACAAAAGCACACTTACTGGTCATTTCATAGTTTGCACACATGCATCACTTCCATACAAGTCAATGTAATTGTGCGAAGCAGCCTTTTGCAGCTAGCATTAAATAGTGTCTCTGTGTATAATGCAGACCTACAGCGCACGTGCTGCCTGTGTACAGCAGGTTATGCGACACCCCATGACTGAGCAGGTTAGGAGACCTGTTATAAACATAATTAATTCGTCCTGTGCCTTCCCGCCGATAAAGCAAAAGGTCAGTGTGCTAGTGGGACACAGCAGGGCAGGACTTGACATATACAGACATCAGCACACATACACAGCCTCACTGCTACATACTGTATCATCTCATTCTTTTTCACCTGACCTCCTCTCCCCTCTTTCTTTCCCTGCCTACACAGTGTTCGTCATGATCCCATCCTAATAAATGGGAACTGATTTAAGAGGTTTTCTGCTTGGGCACACAACAGTATGTTCACAATACCATGCAAAATTAAGTTAAGGTTACAGCTCCATCACAGAATTTACACTGCTTACGGCAGAGTGAAATTACTGAACAAGAGTTTACAGTCACACTAGCAACTTACTGGTGCTGCACACAGGCAGACGTGCTTTGAGCTATTTAACATGTTCAGTGGCTTAGGTACGTATGGTATCATGCAAATATTTGTTAAGCATTAAACATGAAGTGCAGTACAAAACCGTACTGGCCAAATGAAAATTGTGGCTGTATGATGATGCTAAATGAGGCAAGGGAATACTAGAGCTACTGCAATTCATCCTAACACTGTTTAGTTTCCCCTGAGCTAGATGCTAACATTCACTGGATCTTCATTGGCCAGTAACGACAGAATATGGTTTACTGGAAACACTCCCAGGATAGACCTGAATGCAAGCCTGTACTCAGTAAAGCTTCCTGGATGAATAAAGATTTGATGTACTTTTGAAGAGCATCAACAGTGAAACCTCTAGTCTGTTTTGATTTGAGTGATAACAAGGATAACGTTGTTTCCTGTGTCTTCTCCCCCAGATGAAGACTGTGAGTGTGGCACTGGTGTTGTGTCTCAATGTAGGAGTGGACCCTCCTGATGTGGTCAAGACCTCGCCTTGTGCCAGACTGGAGTGCTGGATAGGTGAGCGAATCCACAGTGTGGAAATATTAACAAAGGTTCTTGCACTTTGCTGCAAATGTGTGAATCTCTGTGTAAAAGAATTTGGCCTATGGGAAAAATATTTATTTATACAAACGCATTTTAGACAGTAGGTCGTCAAAAATCACATCCTCTCTTCTCAGACTCATAGTGAAATCTGAATGCAAAGAGAGCTTAGCTTAAACTCCTGAGTTTATATTTTCCTTTCCAAAGTGGAGCCCACTTTCACTTAGAAAGCAACACATGGTGCGACTGGACACTGTTGGACTTTGAACTTGGAGGCCAGCTTGTATTTGTTTTAAAGTGTTTCTTGGTTCTTTTTTCTGCCATTTGAACTCCCTCTCTATTCAATCTGGGTTCAATTTTCCTCTTGCAGCCACATCCAAGGATGTTGGCAACAGTCCCATGGACCTGAAACTTCTTAATAATATTAAGAAGTGCAACATGAAGATGGTCTTATACAGTAACTTCTATCATTACCCCACTTGGCAGTTACTGTCTTCCTTAAAATCCTCTGCTTTACAGCTGGATTAATGCTCAAAAGAGGTTATTAAGTAGTTGTATGCTGTGCAACTGCACTGTCAAGTTGAATTTGATGGTGAAAATGTAGCTTTTACTTTAGTGTTTAGGGACATTCTTGGTCTTCCTCATGGGAGCTCTATTTGTAAGGTGTCTGGTACCTAGGGATGAAGCAGCGTGCCCCCCACCAGAGCCACAGTCTGACACAGAACAAAGACAAAAAAACAGATCTCTGAATGGAACCTCAAAACCATTGCTTAGCTCCCCTGAGACTGCTTGACTCTTAGGAGTGAGGAAAGTACATTAAAGAGGGAACAGTTCTTAAAGTTTCTGAAACTTTGTGCAAACCTGTCTCTTGGTTTTCGAGACAGTTTGGTTTAATATTAAGGGGTAAAGCGGGGGGATGTCTTAAAGTGCACCATGGTGTTTAATTTAAGACAAATGCTAAAACTATGTACTGTATATAGAAGGACTTGGATCTGCTTTTTACTGGCCATGGTCTGTGCAATTGAGTGAAAACCTCCTTTATTAAGTGGCAAAATTCAGTACAGCAGGAAACTGTTGGTAGAACCTTCACTGTTGCAATATGGATTTTTACCATTACATAATTCTTACTATTGTAGGATATTTTTCTTAAATATAGAGGAAACACATAAAGATTCTTGATAATTATATTTTCCCTTGAAACCAAACACATGTTGTGATAATGCATTATAAGAGCACATTCGTCATAACAGCAATAGTTTAATCGTCTGCATTAAAACCTATCAGTATCTCCTGCAAACCTGCCGATATATGCTTTTCTACCTGCTGAGTGCAGCGTGAGCCATCCCCACTCTAGATTTTTCATGCCATATTGACTTAATCTGATCAATATTTCAACTTGAGGGACTGCTGCTATTTTTCTAAACTCTGCTTTTGATTTAATAAGAAAATTTCCTTTGACACTCAAACAACAAATTATAACTCGCCTTTTGTAATTGTGTCATCAATGTCTGTTTTGCCTGGATGTTAAAGGTTAGTAGTAGTAATGTTAGTAGTACTGTAAGTGTTAGTTTTGTTGCACTGTTCTGGATACGATTGCCAGGTGAAACATAGTACACTGATGTTAAAGTGTGTGGTGAATGATCAAACTGGCTGGTTTGTCAGCAACAGATTGACTTGACATGGATTTGCTAATCTATGACTGTGTGTGATCACTCTGTGCTTGTTTGCCAGATCCTCTGTCTATGAGTCCACAGAAAGCCCTGGAGACCATCGGGGCCAATCTGCAGAAGCAATATGAAAACTGGCAACCTAGGGTGAGTGGGTTCACATGAACTACCTTCCCTCCTTCTCTTATACTATACACACATTCACAACTGCACATATTACAGTACACACACAGATAAAATGCTTCCAATAAAGTGCTCAGAAATGAAATTAAAATAGTTGTAGGCACTCCAAGAGTTGACCTTGGTGAAAACATATTGTTACTGATTATTATCGATTTCAGTATCCTGCAAGTCATTTTTAGCTTTTTAAAAGATGTTTTAGAAGTTGTTTTATTGATTTTGGCAGATTATCCTTTCGGGTTTTTGCCAGTGCTGTGACCGTCCTTGGACAGAACAGGTTTTCAGCAGTGTGGCACCGATTGATTCTAGCCATGTTTTCTTTGGGTATCACTTGAAGAACAGTTTCTACTCTCTGATGTGTACAACTGTGACAGACACAATTCCTGTCCACATGACACGTGTAAACGACGTGTGGACTTGAGCTATGAACGTGCATTGAGAGCGTGTTTTGCATGTGTCTCATCAGATAGAACTTGTTGGTACAGTACTGTGCAAAAGTCTTAGGCCACCATTAGATTAGTTGTGTTAGCAGTGTTATCATGACTGATGTTCAAAGCATTAAAAAACACACAAAAATTTCAAAAATGAAGTCAGCAAGCAAAATGGACACTTTAGATGCAGTATTCAAGCTGTTCTGAAGAAATCTGAAGACTCTGGAGAGGTCAAGGACAAAAACAGGAGTGAAAGACCAAGATAACTGTCCAAATATGATGAGACGTTTCTAGAGTTTCTTCTTTGAGAGACTGGAGGAAATCCAGCAAGGACCTGGCTCAACATCTGGCAGCTCCATCTGGTTGCCAAATTGATCTTTCTACAGTCCGAAGAAGCCCGATCAGGAATGGCCTTTGTGAAGGACAGCAGCCAAGAAACCATTTTCAGAAGGAGGACAGGGAGAAAAGCCTGAGATATGCAAAGGTTCACAAAGACTGGAAGAGTCTCGTGGAGTGATGGGTGAAGTTTGAAATGTCCAGGTCCACTCGTGGACAGTATGTGAGAAGAAGAGCTGTGTAGGCATGTGTACAACCTCAAGAAGAGTATTGTTTTCATTAATGTGGAAAAAAGTACAAATAATTGCTGGTAGTATTTACTACAGTCATTCTGCTGTTCTCTGCTAATAGCCAAAAAAGAGACATACCTCCTTGTCATGTTGTAGCCTTCTTATACTTCTAAATAAAATGTAAAATGTTATGCCTTCAGTCACATGAGTCCAATCAGTAAATACCCCACGGTGTCAAATATGAATAGTTCACATTTCCATAAGTTGCAGCTTTAATCTTACCAGGTTGGACCTACTAACATTTTTGTATTACTTTCAACACAGCACAAATCTGAACTGCATTTTCAGACGCATTAACAAACACGCACAAGATTATGGCACTTTAAAAGCTGAGGCTAAAAACCACGATTGCTTTGGAGAATACCCCCAACACTAATAACTCCTCGAGCACACACATTTGTCCTCCATGTTGTAGTATGAAAACTCTTAATGTGCTGTCACAGTGTGTATGTGTAGTAGTGTGCACATCTATGATGCACTGTCCTGTCTTGTGCATATGGCAAATACTGCACATGTACCGTGGCTCTCTCTGTCACGGTCGTCGGTTTGTCTGAATGAAGCTGTGAGGAACATCAATGTAAATGACAGAAGTCATTGCTTTGACAGGTTGTGGAATCCAGCAGTGTTACGTATCCTGTGTCTGAAAAGGGGTTGAATGGGTTTATTTATTTTAGCTATAGCTCTAATACACCTCCATGCACTGTGCCAGTGCAACACCCACATGCGGTTGTCAGTGATTCATAGTTTTATTTTTTATTTTTTTAAGATCATGTTCTCAGTTCTAAGTTAGTTTGTGTGTGTGTGTGCGCATACACATATCTTTGCCAGCAACGGCTGCTCTCCTCGGCTCCTAGCCTAAAGTAAGCTCAGTGTTTTCCCAAAGGCTCCTGGATCTGCCATCTTCCTGCATCAGCCCCTCTGAGCATTGGTGTCTCAGTGCTGGAACAGATAACAATGGGCAGCACACACACTCTGCAATAAGACATGACACTGATGAAGCGAGACAAGTGAAGGTTTAGAAGAAGAATGAACTTTAGGGTGTAAGGAGAAGCTGAGATCGAATGTGAAGGATGAGCGATGGATAGGAAGAGACAAAAGAGGTTGAACTGTGTCCTGAAACCTGCTCTCTCACACTCACTGACATGTACAGAATGAGAAAGGGAACCTAATTGTGCTCAGGCAACAGGAAATTTGATCTTTGTGATTAAGTGTCCATGTTGTAAGTGGCCAATGTTTAGAAAACTATCATTTCCTGTCATTAGAGACCATTGTAATGGTGCATGGTGTGTTCTACAGTGCAAGCGAGATAGCTGAGGTGCAGAAAGTACAACTGCAGGGTTTTCCCAAGGGAACTGTTAAGCTGAGGTGGTAAGTCAACCTAGTTCTGATGCTCCTCATCTAGTAGCCAAACAACAGTCACACTTCTTAAACTGTGGGAAGTGGTGCCCCTGCTCTTTTGCCCCAAAGGTGAATGTATTTTTTTTTTCCCCATGAAATTGTATAATGTTTTTAAGTGGGCCCCCTGCTATTAAGTGATGTCAGAGTCTGTGTGGATTGAATGGTTTGATGCTTCCATAGTGTTTGCATGTGATGTGTGAATTTATGGTGAGAGTACATTTCCTGAAAACGTCAGTGCTCATTGTCACCCAGTAGTTAAGAATATTCTGCTATGTAAATGGTTTTATGTAGACAGTTCAGCTGCACAATACACTCATTTGGCAGTTTATTAATTATATCTTGCTAAAACTAATTACTTGAGTGCAGTAATAGCTGGTTAGTCGCCGCCTCTTCATAATGGACATCTTTTTGTTGCTTTGTTACCTGGAGCTGTGAAAGCCTACGTGGCCGCCAAAAAAACATGTTATCACGAGGAAGTAAAAGTAAAATTGTATGGCTGTTTGGAAGCAGTACTGCAGTAACACGAGGCAAGAGGGGGTGGAAGAAGAGACATCCTGAAGGAGAGCAGCCAAAGGAACGTAGGCTTGGGCTTAGCGGACCGGGGAGGTCAGCAGAAAACGGTGGTGGGAGTGCAGGGGGAGGAGTGGGAGGGTGAGAAATCCCCCTCCCACTCCCCCCAAACTGAGGGGTCACAACTCTGCAGCACCACACCACAGAGCAGTATCGCCGACACACCTTACATAAACTGTTGACAAAGCAGTCAGTTCCACCACAGCTGCTGTCCCACCACGCTGAGGAATATTGAAATTTTGGATGGGTAAATATTGCACTTAAAATCAAATTTTGATCGGTTTTGTCGCACATTTCCTGTGGTGTTTAGCTGCCCAGAGAGTTTAGCTGTGCCAAACTTGCCATCATGAATCCATTTCTCTGTTGCTTCTGTGCTCTTGCATTAACCCTCATGGCCAGAAAACTCACAGAGAAAGGCAAAGACCGTCTTGGTTGCTACCCACTCACTTTTTCTACCATTTTTTGTATAAAAAAAAGCAACAACAAATCTCTCAATCCCGCTCTTTCTCACATACTCTCTGACCTTTCTCCTTCATTGTTTGACTCTCCACATCAGTGATACTCTTTTCAATCAAGGCTCTTGCTCATCTCTTGTGTCCATCCTTCCTTTACCTCTTCATGTTTGCACCCATCTTCTTTGCCTCTGGATTTTTTTTCTCTGGCTGTCTGTGCCTTTGTTGTTTACACGAGTGAAGGAGAGATGTACATGCAGATTGTAGAGCACATAGTACTGTTCTGCTGCAACTCTGAAGAGACCCAGCTTGAATTAATCTGAGCCATTCAATGTGACACAAGTGGTTCTTTTATCGTCCTCTCTGCTTGTAAATCCTAAACGCTATAGTGCTTAAGATTTTCTTCTTATGACACCATTTATTATTTTTTCAGCAGTATGTTTGCATTCTGTAACTGCCTCCCTATATAATAGTTTTTGGTGGTGGTGGTGGAGTCAGATTTGTGTACCCACACAAGATGGATTCACAGGAAACAGTGCACATAGTGGACATGGTGCAGAGGATAGTAGATGGTAATTACATGGTTAGCTTCTTTATTAAACTAACATAATGAACACCTTAATAATGTATTTATTCAGTCATTCCAATTCAACAAAGCAGTATTCGTGCCACAAAATCAATAACGACAAAGAAAAGAATACACAAACACAGCACAGATCGAAAATTGCAGACTCCACATATTGAGTTACAAAGTCCATTCATGTATTTTAATGACAGAACAAGTTTGACATATTGACCTTTCCCAAAATATGTGGGTGTGAAAATGTAGTGCAAAGAATGAAGGATCCAAACCAGCATAATAAAAATATTACAAACTGTAAAAAGGAGGGCAGGCAGCTTTCTGTCTATTGAGAATTCTGTCGTGTTCGACAGCATAGCTTCTCAACTCGTCTGCTGTAGTCAGTCCCCACAGCTGTTGCCAAATAACTGAAATGGCAATGACCATAACTTGAAAGCAACTTCATGTAGCTATGAAAGTGTTCATATTTAAAGGGTTATTGGTCAGCCCCCCCTTCCAATCGCGCTCTTGTGTGTATTATCAGTGTCGCTGTCTTTGTAACTGCGGTTTTTGAACTTCACAGTTCATTTTGGGACCAGTTGTCATTGTCATTATGGATTAGAGCCTGAGGCGACACAGTTCAAAACCACAAAACAGTCCGTTCAGAAATATATACTACTGATCTATTTTGTATGTCGTTTAAAATCTTAAGACATCAAATGGCATAAACAGTGAAATCTACATACTCTGTCTTTCATTAATGGAGAATATTTTTTATAAATGTGTTCTGCTTAAAACTCAGTTTAGATGTATTTGGCTAAGGTCTATGTAAACGTCTGACTTCAACTGTATGTTACAGAAGAATAAGCACAAGTGTGATTCATAAGATTAGTAACATTGCACTGATGAGATGAAACTAAGCCATTGTCAT